CAGTGCCGATCCGAGGTGCGAAACCGAATTTGAATCGTTCCCATACTCAGGCAGCCGCTTGCCCTCCGGCGATCAGAGGAGCGTACTGGCTCTCGCGGGGCCCCCCCACCGGTCACGTACAGGAGGCTACCAACTCTTGGTTGTATGTGCCGCTGCTGCATGCCGCCGCCGCCGACCTCGCTTCCCCTGCTGTCCGTGGCGGCCCCCAAACAACTCACTAGTGACCATCTGCCGCGCGACTATACTTGCCAAGCTGCGCGATGCCGCCCCGTCGCTCCTGCCCTTCACCCGCGCCATATATGCGCGCACCTCCACTAGCTTGTGGTGGGACGGCGAGGGACGAATGCACGACATCGGGCAGGCTGAAGGTGTCGAGCAGGGTGACCCCCTCGCACCGGGATTTTACGCGCTTGGCCAGCACGACTCGCTAGTCGCGGCTAGTGCCTCCTTGCGGCCGGGTGAGCGTCTCGCGGCGTTCTAGGACGACCTGTGTGTCGTCGCTGTGCCGGAACGGCGGCGCCGCTCCTGCGGGTCGTCACCGGCGACGTTGAGCGCCGAGGTGCCGAGGTCGAGGCCAACCTGGGCAACACGAGGGTCTTCAACGCAGCTCGAGGGGATGCGCCACCCGGCGTCGACGTCTTGGGCCCGACGTCTGGTGCGGCAACGTGCCCCCGGAGCAGCGTGGCTTCGTCGCTCTCGGCATGCCCACAAGTCACCCCGACTTCGTTAAAGCCCAGGCCTCGAACCGCCTTGATGCTGAGGCCGACTTCTTCGGAACCTCATGCAACTCCCAGATGTCCAGTGCGCCTGGCTCTTGTTCGCCCAAATGCTGCGCGGCGCCTCGTGCACAGCATTTGCTCCGCAACGTAACCGGGCCCCAGCCGACGTCTCCCTCATACGCTCGCGATCACGATGATGCGGTCTGGGCGGCAGTTGAAGGCCTGCTCAGCGACCGCCGAGCCTGGGAGGCCTGGGTCATTTGGCAGCGGAGCGAGTATCACCGGCAGCATACTGGGCGGCATGGGCAAATGCGCTCCCGGTGTTGCGACCACACCCCGACGCAGCAGCCCGGCTAGTAGCGCCTTGCCTACGTGCATGTGCGGAAGCTGCGCGCCAGCTTGCTGCAGAGGGCTGGCCGAGCAGACCGGAGTGGGCGTCGTGCGCACGCGGTGCCGACTCGCCGGCCGCTGAGGGTGAACTCGGCCTAGGAAACCCAGGTTGGCACCGACACGCCGTTCTCGCGCTTCACACTTCCTTTCGAGAACGCGTGTTTTGCTTCCGGCCTTGGCTCAGGCCGCTTGCGCCCTCCTCCACCCTCCAATCCGGTCCGCACGGTGGTATGACCCCACAGCCCTGCAGTGTTGGCGCGGAAGGCCGACATGGCTGTGGGGCTGAGGTCGATGCATACGGGGTCGCCTGCCCACGCACGGGCTTGCTGCCCAGGCGTGGTTTCGTCGTTGAAGGGGCGTGGGTTCGGGTCACTTGCGAAGCGGTCGGTCCGGAAGGACGGGTCGTGCCGCGGCAGTGGCTGTCGCGCACAACGACGCCGCAGGTTCACCCCGACGACCGTCGCCGCCTCGATTTCGTTGTCTACATGCAAAGTCACACGCTACCCAGAGTTGACCCGCGGAGGGCCTCAAGGACTCGTAGTCTTCCTGCAGAAGTCGAGGGCCGCTGGTGCGACGACTGCCAGCAGTTCCTCCGTACCCTACTCCGGCTCCGTGTCCACCGCGCCCCATCACCCTCAGGCGGCTTGCCGACCGCACGGTGTCGCGCAGGGTGACGGGGGAAGGAGGCAGCTTCAGAAAACTACCCGCAAACGTCTTCAGCGATACTTGCTGAACTGTCATCTCAAAGTCAGCTTCAAAGCGCCCGCCTCCCTCGAAACCAATGACGACGAAACGCGCCCGTCGCGCGTTCGCGAGCTCGGGTAAGTTTGGCGCCGCTTGCGGCTTGGACGGCCATGCCAGGGCGGGTGTCAGCGCCCGGCTGCCGCTCGCCGGCTCGCATAACCGGGCTGACCACAGGGTGGCATCGAGTGCGGGCTGCGCCCCGTGCCACGGGGCAAGCCGTTCGCGACGACCTCAATGCACCGCGCGTTACTGACGGGGAAGTCGACGTTCACGTCAACGACCGTGACGTTGCGTGCAACTTGCGCGCCCCCCTCCCGACAGACGCGGGCGACGGCATGCTCGAGCGGAAAGTGCTGGCGATTCTAAGACAACGGACGTTGCACACACTGAGCGGTGGTTACCAAGCGGATCGAGGCAGCCTCAGCAACGGCACACGCGCGGCGTCAGGAGCCGTAGAAGGAGCCTGACCATCGCGCAACCTAGGCGTTAATGGCTGACAGATCTGACGGGCGGAGGTGAGCTAAACCCTAAACCGCCGCTTGCGCTTGCCCTTGCCCTTTAGCCCGAGCCGTTGCAACGCAAGCCCCGGCTGCGGACAGCAGGTAGCACAGTACGGGGACCATGCTTTCGCTTGCCCCTGCACAGGGGTTGTTGGCCCGCCGAACGAATGTCGCCGAGCGAGCCTGGGCACGCATTGCCCGTGAAGCCGACATGGGTGCCACAACGCGGTTGTGCTGCGATGCACCCTCGTCTCTCCACTCACGCAGACGGGACATCCACAGCCACAGCTGGGCGAGTCGACGAGAGGACCTCGCTGTGCAGGGGATGGTCGACGTCAACAGTGGCGGTGCCGGCGAAGGAAGGGCCAAGGAGACTAGCACCGAAGGCTCTGGCGGCAGAGAAGGCGCCGATCGCAAAGAGTTCCACAGCCCTCCGCACGGCGGCCGCCGCAAGCTGGTCGCGCCGTTGGTGGGCAAACCACCGCCTCCCTCCACGACCGTGTTTCGGGCCGCTCGAGAATGCTGCAGCCCTTAAACGGCAGAGTCGCATTTGTTGGCGGTGCCAGATGTAATCGAATGCAACGACAGCCTTTAGTTTTGGGCCCTTTCTCGATTCAGTGTTGTCAGTTTTCTTCTTGTATAGTTTCTTTTGTGGACCAGTTCCGATCGATCCTTCCGTTCCGTATTTCATTGTTGATCCACTTTTTTGGCGTTAGTTCACAGCTTGTATTCAATCAATTAATATGTTGGTTCTAAGTCTACTGCATTTGGGTTTTCCACTGATAGACAGCGCAGTGTAGACGGTGCTGCATGTGAAAGATGAGCATATGGATGTTGTGTGATGTGGTGATGGTACCCAACGCTTCGCGCAAACAAAAACAAGGCGTTTGGATTTGTTGTCTCCTGCTTTGCTAGTTACAATTTATTCCGGCAAGGCAGTCATACCTAAACGACCCTAAACGAGTACCAAAAAATTACTGTTTTTTTTCGCCTGCATGGTAGCTGTCCCACTGCGCTGCCGGGGGCAGGCTCACAACCGGCATCCACGTGCCGTGGCCTACCGAAACCTCGTCCGGGTACGGTCGCAGCAGGGAGTTTCAAACAGTGGGGAGATGGCCAACGGGCACTGTCTTGGTGTCGCGACGCACAAGTCGTCCAACAAGGCAACGAGGTTGTCATGAGAGTGCTAGGGCATGGCCACGTTGACGAGTGTATCGTGTTGTCCAAGCGCAAACAATGCCGGGGCTAATGCATCACTGTAATTGCGGCAACGCCCTCCCGCGTCCCACCAACATTTCGTGGAAGGCCGGCCATAAAACAACCTTACGAAAGGAAACAAATCCAGGCCACTTGGTGCAGCTTGGTGAGGAAGGCTGCACGGGGCATACAGTCGTAGGCGCTGCGGCCGTCGAGGGATACCACGATTGCGTCCGGTCGCGCAGCGAGGGCCGCGCGAATGTGCTCGGCTAAGGCGTCCGGGCCGGCCCTCGCACAACAAGTTTGCAGCGGCAAACGGCAGGCAACGCGTGCCCCAGCTTCGCGCGCGCAGCCGCCCTCTCTAACACTGCCCCACGGATTTCGAGTACACCAGCCAATGGGCATGTGGCGCGGTGGTCGCTCAGGGCATCTGCAATTCGTTTGGCAATTCATTTGGGTCAAAAAAATTTGGGCGTATTTTGCATTGGCATTCCTCCAGCCAAAGTCAACGCAAGTCAACGCAACTCAACGCAAGTCAAGTCAGGTCTAATCAAGTAAAGCCAAGCCAAGCCAATGGTAAAGAGAGCGATCGGATGTTGGAGGGGCTGTGGAAGGACATCACACGTCGGTGGCAAGATATTTGGCTAGCACCTCTGGTTTTTGAGTTCACCTGCAAGGTTTTCGGGGTGTGGCTGTTGGCCTCCAGCACCGAGGTGGGCTGCAGTTTTCGAGTACCCGGCGCAAGAAAGCGTCAGACGTACGGACTCGCCTGCATGCACATCCGTCTCGACTGTGGCTGCTCTCTCATTGGCCACTTTTGCCCTCTTCGGCTCGACCGCCTGAGGGCGCTTCCAGCATTCCCATCTCGTTGCACCAAACACGCAGGATCGTGATGTCCTCAACATCCCTTGCTTGTGATCGGGGGGTGCCCAGCCGCAGCTTTGAAGACGGACCGTGCAAGTCGTGAAACGGTCAACGGTTAACTGTTGACGTATCAGTTGAAGATGCGCGGCTGCCATTCAAGCAAAGGCAGCAGCAACCTCGCAAAAGCCTTTCCGCGCCACAGACAGAGGTCGACACACTGGGCTCTCTTATAACTAGGCAGCCGATGCATGGCGGTATCGAAGTACCTGCTGCAACGACGCATGCCCGAGGTGAGACGATACGCAATAACAGAACGGACGACTTTCGAGTCACGTCCTGGCAGCAGCAGGACTCTGCAGCAGATATGAGGTCTTCCCCAACTCATTCGTCTTTTGCAGAGTCTGCCACCTGTGCACAGCATGGAAACAGACAAAGAGACTTCTTCCGCCAGGAGCTGCGATGAAAGCCGTGAGATGACACGGCCTCGATGCTGTGGCCGAGGCTCTCTGCAGATGGACTGCATGCGTCAGAGGATGGCACCACCTTTCCACAAAGCAACATGCTCCCATCATCTTCAACGTCTGTGTCAACAAGCACCACAATCTTGCGGGCGATGAAAACTGCAAACAGCCTTCGCCTTCCGCAGCCGCTTCTTCCTTGGTGCCCCCTGGCAATCGGCTGACAGCTTCGCTCATGAGCCCTCGGCGGCTGCGCTCCGATAGGCTGCGCTGCACACCGCCCCGGCCTCCTCCTGTTTCTCCAACAGGCTGGGAGAGGAGGAAGCGGCCTCTCTCGGCTCTCTCTCTCCCTCTCTCTCTCTTGCTTGCTTGCTTGCACTCTCCCTCTCTCTCTCTCTCAAGTGCTTTGTGGCTGTGACGCCGCGATTCCCTGCGGCCCGCCTGGCGACCCAATGTAGGGGCCGGAGAGGCCTCGGCGGATGCAAGCGAGGAAGGCAAAGAAAAAGGCTCGCTCAAGGACAAGACATGCTGCAAAGGCCAAATGCAGCCTGCAGATCAAAAAGTAAGCACCTCTCCATGGGCGAAGCCAACAGTTTCTCAATGTCGAAATCCTGCACACGGCGCACGGGTCCGGAAGAGTTCCCGCTATGTCTATGTGAGACAACAATCGATGATGCCTCTTCCGACAAAGATGGGCTGGCAACTGCAGGACTTTGCTGCGACGCCTCACCTGCCAGACATCCACTACGCAGGTGTCTGCTTCTGTGCTCAACCTCTCGCTTAATAGAAGCGTGCCTTTGGGCGGTACAGGGCTCGCTTCTGCCACTTCGCCTCCCGTCCCACCCGCAACCCCCGTGCTACATCCGGCTCGACTCACTGACTGGCAATCTAACCCATGTCACCAACATACAGCTGCCTTCCAAGTCATCAGGCCTGGCCACGGACTAGTGCTGAAAACATATGAGAACATGTATCCGAAAGCAAACTCACAAGAAAAGCAAAAGAGCAGCCAGTGAGGCTCGTATTCGTCGGCATCCTCATCCAAGTCGAGCTCGGGTAAGCTGCCTTACAACCAAGCGCTTGCGTGCCACTTTGACCCTAGTACACCGCAGAAGTCAGAAGCTTGAGGGACCTGCCATGCACCGTTAGCGCATAGCAGCCTGACACGGACAGGCTTCGTGGCCGTGAAAACTTCAACTATGCGGCATGATCGCAGCCTGGCGTGCTCCGCTCCAAGCCGGTGAAGCGGGACGCGAAGGATCCGGGTCTGTCGTATGCACAGTCCAGGCAGGTCGTGGAGATGTCGACATGGGAGGGCCGTCTACAAGAGAGAGCAAGGCTACTACATCCACTTTCTGGTATCCAAGTGGCACATCTCCTGCTAATATTGCGTTTCCATTTCTGCTCTAGTCTTCTCTGTACTTTTCTTGCATGTGCTGCCCAGTGCTAAGACTGCAGGCATGAAGGCAAACTCCTGCCTTCTCCGGGGTTTTTCAAAACAACCACTATGGAGTAAGGGCTCAAGTCTTCCGCCTCTCCTTGTCTCGATTCGGTGTTTTCAGAGCTCGACCTAAACGGCAGAACAACCTAGCACTGGAGAAATATAGTATACTACGCACAAGTGTCACAGCAACAAAACCGACAGTCGAACTACGACAACGGCAACAAGAAGCACACCACAACCAGGAACAGTACTAGCCATACTCACAAGAAGCATAGGAGCAAGAGTAATGCTTTCGATTCTAACAAGAACCAACAGCAGGCCTGACTAAAGAGAAGAATCCCGCGAAGCTTCCCGTTGTGCAGGCCAGCACACGTGCTTCATTCTCCTGGAACGGACTTGCGAGAGCCGTGACGTGAAAACTCGACCCAGATGCAATGGAATCCTGCATTCCAAGACTGTCTCGGCAATTCGGGCATCCAAGATCGAGAAACTGCTCCTGAAGAGCAAGGCATCAAATGCGAATGCTTGGTGTGCAACGAAGGCGCGCCTTGGTCATGATGAGGCGACACCTCGAGCTTCCACCGCGCAAGGGCATAAACCCTGCTTGCGACAGACTCCGAGATCTAGGGGGCACGGGTCTACGGTTCAAGAGAAAGTTATCTACAACAGAAACCATCAAGGAATGCCTGTTTTGGACAATCCAGTGCTGATGCTGTGCATGGCAACGGCTTCTGCGGCTCTACGGGCCGTCATGCAGACAGATTTGTTTGGGCAGCAACTTCCGAGATCGGCACTGGAGGCATGCTCGCAACCTCGAGCTAGATTTTGGAAGCTGATTCCTGAGCGAAAACGAAGCCTCCAATGCTTTAAGCAGAAGAGTTGCTGGACCGATCCGGTCTCAGACACTGGCTTGATTCGCTGAAGCTGCCTTGGCAAAGGGCATGTGCTGATCGTGGCACCATGGAAGGTACCAGCACGAGGTCCCGACGAATGATCTAACGGCTCAATCGCCAGATCTTTCGGCACGTTCATCGCGACTAGACCAGGACATGGAGACTTTCAATAGGACTTGAGAAGTTGATCGTCTCATCCAGAAGCCGGGATCACTCCCTACCTGTGGCGCAGCTAGTTTGTGTAACGATCCGTATCTTCTGCATAGGATGGGATATAGTGTAGTGCAGTGTCTCGTGTCTTGAACATGGCTCCCACCTTGTCCTGGTATCGTTTGGACGGATGTCATGCCCAGAACGGTTGTCACTGCAGATTAGAGGCTTAGAGTCAACGAAACGGTCGCGCATCTTGCACCACGTCATGGCAGAATGCCTATACATGCACGCACTTGCAAGCTGAAAACAGCTGCTACGGAAGCATCGCTGGTTCGTGACACCTCATGGACTGCATGCCAAGTTTCGGTGCTAGCGAAGCAGGGTGGAACGCCAAGCTCTTTTGCTCCGATGCGTTGGCTCTTTCTGCATCTGTGCTACTCGCCTTGTGCGGGAGCTTTCCCGCAGAGCACGTCATGCGGTCCTGAAGTCATGAGCTTGAGGTGCCTGCAGTGACAGAGCTCTTCCAAGAGAGTTCAGCACGAGATCGAAGTCACAAGTTGGAACATGCGATCTCTCTCTCTCTCTCTCACACAGAAACTGCCTTCCTTCTGCAATGCGTCTTCCGCTTTGCGTTTCTTCTGATTGCCCTCTTCCGTTGTGGCAGCGTCGTCCGCCTCTACTGCAGCACAATAAGCCGTCCATGGCCACAAGTAGAGAAAAAACGCTAAATCAAACCCCCAACCTGCAAGAAGGCCAGACCAGCAAGGGCCCCAGACATCGTCGATTCGGAAGGCATCTGCTCCTCCAGCGTGTGCAAACCAGGCGATTCTCAAGGGGTACCAGAGATGCACACGAAGACTCCTGCTCATCCTCGTCAGCCTCCGCGGCTTTCGTGTCACCGCCGTGTGCCACAACTTTGGCCCAACGTGCCGCAGGGTTGACAGTATGATCGGGGATGGTTGCATCTTTCGGATACAGCCGATAGAAAAGGCTTGTCATGTGCCTCCAAGGGGCAGGCAGACAACATGTGAGTCAGCTTGGCACGAAGACGCGATGCAAGCATGCGAGACAAGTGCGGAACGCAACGAAACACAAGGCAAGCCCACCTCTCACCGAAATCGCTTTGAGATAGACGACCATTCAAGCTCTGCACATGTTCTTCAGAGCCCCCCGCTCGAGCAGTGAGTGATGTGATGTAACTGACCACAATCTTCAACACATGTATCGGTCAGCCACATAAATTTAATGCCAGATTGGGCATGTTGAGTGAATCATGATTGACATGAAACCGTTCGCTGCGGCATGCACCTGCAAACACTGAGCTGCCCGCAACTTTCCCACGAGCCGCATTCCACATTACGAGCTGCCACTCCCGGGTCTGTCCGATTTCTCTGATACTCGAAGCATGCACGAGACATCACAAATCAAAGTCAACATCTTGAAAGCAACAACCACATAAAATACCAAAAAATAAACCCGCTGCATCCGAAGACCCCGAACTCTCGGAATGCTCAAACCCTCGGCCTGTATCCATAGGCGTGAAGACCCTCCATAACCCGAAGTCCTGTGACACGAACCTGCAGAGCCCCCGACCCGCCATCCCCCAAAACCTCTGCACTATCAGAAACAAGCCAGCACTTGGACCCTTAAAGCCGAGATCTACAAGACTTGAACGTCTCAAACCCGAACCTTCAGCAGGAAGTTCCATACACGGCTCTGTGACAAAACCGACAAACATGCAGGCAAAATGAGGCCTTAGAAGCACTTCAACCAGCAGCCCTTTACCGCAAACCGAGTGAATGAAGTGAACTCTAAGACCACTTCTCGGAAAAGCTCTAAGCCGCAAGACGATCAACATCCATCAACCCCAAAACCTTGAAACCCTGCCGATCTCCAAACGCTAAAACCTCTCAGAACAAACAGCACAATTCCCTGAGCTGCCAAAACCACAAAATCCCACATCTGAGGCTGTTGCATCAAAAAACAAACGCATGCAAGAAATAGCAAAACCTACAACGCGAAAACCAATCTGACCTCTGAGACTGTTTGGACCAAACCAGTCTTAAGTCTGTTGCATCTCACATGTACAAACTTTGAAGCTGGTTGTGCACTGAGCAGTCGAAATCTGATCGACTTCCAAGGAAAAAAATCGCGTGAACTGTGTCTTGAGAAACAGCAACAGCAAGAACTACATCGAGGGTTCGAACAGTTCGGACCCCCTTCGCCCCTTTTGGGCTATGGCACCACCCACCCCCCACCCTAGTAATACAATATATGAAAAAATCCTATTCGCACTCTAAATCCCAATACTCCTATCTACCCAGGTGCCGTAGCCCAAAATAGGCATGGGTGACCTGTCTTGCAGCCCATTTTTTCCACAGATCTGTGCTGCGCAGCTTCACACGCATCCAGGGTCAGCCTTCGACCAACTGCGGTTCTATCCTACAAAGGCTTTCACGCCGTGGACAGAGATCACGACCGCGGACACGAGTTTGAAGAACTCCTGAGCAAGTTTTGGCTTGCGCAAGCGTATGTCGTCAAAAAGTAGGAAAACTTGCAGAATGATCCCCGTAAGGAACCTGAGAAGCTCAGCTTGCAGCAACTAAAGCGCAACACTTTCCACGTGCCTTGGCAGCACCGCCAATGCATCCGCCAACCCCTGCAAAAATGCCAGATAGGACCGCCATGCCAACAGCATATGGTCTCCTGGCGGCAAGAGCTGCTGAAATGTGAGGTGGGGAGTTGCTTCAAAGGGTGGAGGAAACCGCAAAGCCTATTCCATGTTTACCTCGATGAACATGCTACCAAGTTGCAGTGCCGAGGTCAAGTGATCAAAGCCGCTTCCCAGCTCCTTGCCTAAATTCTTGCTGAGGCCATCAAAGCCCTGCTGCATCGCGAATCCGATCCATGCGAAGCCGCCCACAAGCGCCACGACCAGCGCCACCATTCCGATACACATCAGCATGGGCGTGTTCTCCGGTCGGCACATCAGGGCAATTCCAGATTGCTCTGCAGACGTTGGCTGTTGCTCAGCGACTACGACGCCAAGTCGTATCCAAAAAGCCAACCAACAACCACGGGAAGAAGCCACGAAAAGGCCCCGGTCCCTTCAATCCATCATCCACCCGCTACCATCAACCTCCGAAATTCTGATATATTCTCAAAGGCCTCGCGCAAGTGGAGAAGATATGGATTCTGGATTGGCTGGTAAGGGGGTGGAAGATATCATTGCAATTCGATGTTTCACGTGGCTTGTAGCAACAGAATGGCTAAGCAAGTGCCAATCCCATATGGAAGCTCGCTTCTAATCTGGTGGTGTGAGAAAGAAAGCGCATGACCAGACCAAAAAACACGACGTCCGGAGGTTATGAATGCTAACTGTCCCTAATGGGATGCACCCGACGATCCAGCAACAATCCCCGTGTCCACCATACCTGGCGAACTCAATTTAACAAGCAAGCCCAGCACGTTGCGAACAGAGGGCTTGAAAATGGCAGCAAAAGCACCAAAAAAGCAACAAAAACATTGGGAAAATCTATACACAACCAAACGAAAAAACAAAAACCATCAAAGTAATTCCAATGTTCAAGCTACTAAATGATTGGGGCTTAGGATGACCACCAAACATAACATTAACAGTTTAGGGTTTAGGGTTTAGGGTTTAGGGTTGTTTGTTTAATCCTCTAGGTCAAACTCAGGTTGGTTCATTAGCGTTCTTACAATTTTGCTCAAGTCCATAATTCTTGTACCTGGAATCTAACCAAAGCCGTTTATCGTATAACAACTAGCAACATTTTTAATAGCCATAATATGACTATTAAAACTATGATCATCACATATCGTCTGAACATAATATATCTTTTTCTGACAAATTCTTGAACAGTCTACTTTTCACCCAGTCGTAACTGGGAAACTTATGCCTTAGGGGGACAACCGGGGTGAGTCG